TATGGGATGTGTAACTGAGATGATGTTGAGATGGATGATTGTCAAGATAAGAAAATGATAGAATTTGGAATCAATACATTTGAGTGAACTTAGGTATGTTTCAATAGGTGATGAGATGAGGGAAAGTAGACTTATGTGGGCTAGCCATTTGTAGTGTAGACCTCATAGTTGTTGGAAACGATTTTGAATCTGAAACATTTAGGAATAAGAGTTGCAGTGTTGCATCCGGCTAGAACATTCTTGTTTTTAGAATTGATGTTTGTACAAGACTCGTGGGAAATGAGATTCCTATCTCGTAGGAATCAAGATTCGCTCAGAATGGAATCGAGATTCCTACATAGGTAGAATCGAGATTCTTAACTCTATGGAATTGAGTTTCCGACCTATTTGGAATCGACCAATATGGAATTAAGATTCCTTAATTAATGCAATCAAGATTCTGACATCTTTGGAATCGAGATTCGTACCAGTTTGAAATCAAGGTTCAATGCAAATTGGAATCAAGATTCATAACAGTTTGGATTCGAGTTTCGACCCATTTAATAATAGAGATTTATACCCCCCTTGTAATCAAGCATCAAGCAGACACATGGACAAGTAGTTACAGATATAGAAGTTAGTAGGACATTACATATTGCGTAGATTGAAAAATAACGCACATGGATAAATATTATAGGGATTTTGACATTGAACAATAGCTGAAGATTGCATATTACATGTAATTAAAAAGTAAAAGATACAATACCTTTGTTACACGACTTTCATTACATACTTAATGGGAACATTGCCCATAAAGAGAACTGTTTTTTTTCGATCCTTTTCCTTTTTGTTTTTTGTTTTGTTTTTGTTTTTTTTGTTCTTTTGTCTTTTTTGGCGTGTGGGAAGGGAGGGATACAGTTTCTTTCCTCTTATGCCCCTTTGGGCTGTAGCGAGGAGCTTTTGTGTGACAACTGAAGGTAATGGAGAGTTTAGGGTGGGTCCAGTTGAAGGCTCACTTGTTTCGTGTGCGGAAGATGGAGATACTTTAGACTTTTGCACACAAATGTTAATTTATGGAACCAAAATTCAGCAATGCGTTCATAGAATTATTGTTCTGAGCACTCATGAACCATGGAAGATAATCGTATCCAATTCCGGTTTCCAAATAACTCAAATAAAAAACCATAAATGTTTGAGTTCATTTACAAGTCACATATTCATGCATCTAGAATATTAGTATTTGATTATGTAGAATTACAAGTCTAAAAAAAAACATATCAAGGTTCTATAAGGGTGGAAACAAGATTCAATGTTTGATTAGTTCGTTGTTTCTTGCATCTACGAAATGTGATACTTGTTGTCAGGAATCTAGATTAAAAGAAAATTGAATCAAGTATCGTTAAATATGGAAGCCAATTTTGACAAGTTTAGAATCAAGATTCACCAATTGCGGAACAAAAAATGAGTAAATATTGAAAATGAGATTCTATTAGTGTTGGAATCTAGATTAAACTGAGATTCCAGACTTCACAGAAACGGGTTCTATGAAGATTCCTTGTCGGAGTCGCCAAATCGGAGTTTCAAATAGGATTCGTGACCTTTGGTGAGTGATTCAGGTAACTATGGTAGACCTAATACACCACTAGTTAGGAGGTGCAATTTGGTCGAAGTAGAAGGGATCAAGGGAAAGGCCCAAAAGCACATGGATGGAAGTAGTGAGAAAAGATATAGTGACATATAGTCTTATTGAGGGTGTGGCCCTTGATAGAGCATAATGGCGGAATAGAGTTCGTGTACCCGACCCTAAAGAGTTGGGATAAGGCTTTTGGATGATGATGATGATTGTGTGGGCACCTTTTAGCTGTAAATTTTTACAGTAATATAATTATGAAACTTCCAGTTTTTGGTAGTTTCATAAATCATAGTTTTGATCATCATTGGAAAATTTTAATTGTTATTGGATCTTGATGGTCAAAAATGATTTTATCCACAAGTCCCCATTCGATTGGTTCAATTTCCCAATCGTTACGATTAAGGAAAAATACAATTTTTGTGTTTTTATTGGATTCATAAATAAGATTACCATCATACTTTGTTAGTATTCTGGTAATATTTTTTTTAGGCTTGTTTAGCCTATTTTCAATATGCTCATGAAAAACGTCATATGGAGTTCTAGTTTTAGTTTTTCCCAAAGGCAAATTCTTTTAATTTTTTAAAAAATCGGATCCCTGGATTGGTGTTCTGAAGTTTTTAGAAAATTATTTCTCTTTATAAGAAAATTTTGTTTCCCAGTCCATTTGTTTAATAATCTGAAAAGACAGGTTTTGCAGATCCTTGGTTTTAATTGATTGTTTTGCTAGCAATTCAGAAAATTTTCCCATGTTTTTTATAAATTGTCTTATTTTGTGAAATATGGGATTTCCATAGAGCATTTAATTCATGATAGAACTCAGAAGTGATATCTGGGTTTCTGTAAAAATCCGCTACTTTTTTAGTTTGGGATAAGCATAATTGCTCTTGTAATCTCAAATTATCTTTAAAAGATAACCACTGAGTATCTGGGATTTGAGCAAAATGCTGATGCGGCTGAGAGGCTTCTCTAAACTGAATGTTCCCTGGTTTAGGGATCCCTTCATAAAGTTTTTCCTTTTTCTGAGCAGGTAGTAAGGGTTGTTTACCCTTTCTTTTATCTCCCATAGTTCCTTGTTTAGGGACTTTCTTTGCTAAGAAAATCAGCAATTACATTATTAATACCTTTATTATGTTCAATTTCAAAGGTATATTGACATATAAAATTGTACCATCTGATTCTTCTAGGATATTCTTCTCCTTTTTTAATTTTAAGAAAATCTTTTATTGAGTGAATATCAATTCTAATAAGAAATTGTTCGGGAGCGAGAAAAATATGAAATCTTTTTAAGCCATTTTTTATGGCAAGAAGCTCTTTTTCGTAGGTAATATAGTTAATCTCACTTGGTTTAAGTTTTCCAAAATTGTAACCACCGATTAATTCTTTATTATCTACACATGCTTTTAAAACAGCTCCCCAATGTCCATCACTGGCATCAGTTTCAAGTATAAGTTTTTCTCCATCTTTTGGAAAGTAACTTGGAGGAATGTTTAATAAATCAGCTTTTATTTGTTTAATAATTGCTGCTTCTTTTTCACACCAAAAGAATTGTTTATTCTGTTTTAATTTTTCCAATAAAGGTTTTTCTTTTTTGGATAAATCTTTTATTAAGTTTCTTCCATAATTAAGTAAACCAAGAAAACTTTGAAGATGTTTTTTGTCGTTTAAATCTTCAGGAAAATTCTTGATCTTGGAAATAATATTTTCTTGAAGTTTTATTCCAGTTTGGTCTAAAATAATTCCTAAAAAGTCAATAGAAGTTTTTTCTATTTTCATTTTCTTTGAGTTAAGGATAATTCCATTTTCTATGAATTTATCACATATTATTTTTAAATGTTTATTGTGGTCTTCTTTTGTTTTAGATAAGTCCAAAATATCATCAATGTAAACAACACAGAAATCTTTAAAGTCAGAAAAAAAGTTGTCAATCCATCTTTGGAAAATCTGTGGTGCATTGCATAATCCAATAGACATAACAGTCCATTGATAGTATCCATAAGGGACACTAAATGTTGTTAATGGTTTGGATTCTTCGGTCAGTTTGATTTGCCAGAAACCTGATTTGCAATCGAACTTACTGAACTATTTTGCATGTTTAGTTTATCTAACTAACACATCTTTTCTTGGTGTAAAAGTAACCATCAACCTCTAAATTTTGGTTTAGCCGTATGTAATTAATGACCATTCTAGCTTTTCCTGTTTTAATTTCATTGTGATTTCTCACCATGATTGCAGGACTAGAATGTGGGCTTGTTGTAGGCTTAATTAATCCCTTTTCTAAGAGATCTTTTATTTGCTCTGAAAACTCATCAATATCTTGTTTAGTATAGACCATTGGTTTTACTCTAATAATCCTATTAGGGTCATTGAGCTTTAAATTACAGTAATGAGGTTTCCGTGACCATAATTTTAAGGGGTCTTCACTAAAATTTGTTTCTAGAATTTTATAGATCCAATGTGAAGTATTTAAATTAAAAATTGTAGACGTGCTTTCACCACGTTATAGCGGCGTAAATCCTTTTTCACGACGATACTTATGTTATACAAGTATGTCGATCATAGTTTTGATGAATTATTAGTTAGAGTGATAGTTTT